TAACTAATCCAAGATATTTTTAAAGTTGAGATAAAACATGTACAGAATTTCATCAGGTGCTGGTACATGTCAATTCTTCGTTAAATACTGAATACTGAAAGGATGAAAAACAAATATTGTTGATTCTTCATACACTGAAAATTGCTTCTCCTAGCTAAACCTCAGTACTTTATTCAAATGACTCAATATTCACTGTATGCAAGATCCCTTCAAATACTGGTGTTGATCTGACCATTAGAGGCTCAACTATCTTTATGCATTCTAAGTTTGCATTTTCAAAGCCAGATATTCTAAAAGTACACATATATCTTCTGAGACTATTACTCCTACATGTACTGCCTTAGTTAGTCTTTGTGAAAAGTCACTAATGTGTTATCTTCTGCCCTATTTAACAATCAACCACTTTGGAAATCAGTGTGGTGGTTTCCCAGGAAACTGGGAGTCAACCTACCTCAGGATCCAGCAATTCCACTCTTGGGAATATACTCAAGAGATACCCAATCATACTACAAAAGCATTTGTTCAACTATGATCATAACAGCACTATATTTGTGATAGCCAGAACCTGGAAACAACCTAGGTGCCCCTCAATAGAAGAATGAATAAAGAAGGTGCGGCACATATATACTTTAGAGTTCTACTCAGTGCTAAAAAACAATAATATCTTGAACTTTGCATGCAAATGGATGGAAATAGAAAACACTTTACTAAGTAAGATAACCCATACCCAAAAAGAGGAGTATGATATGTACTCACTGATAAGCAGATTATAGCCATAAACAAAGGACATTGAGCCTATAGTTCGTGATCCTAGAAAAGCTAAATAAAAAGGTGAACCAAAAGAAAAATATATTTATCCTCTGGGATATTGGAAGTGAACAAGATCGTCGGCAAAAGTTGGAATCAGGGGAGTGTGGGTGGGTTAGGGGGAAGGGGAGATGGGGAGAGAGAAGGGAGAAGGGGAGGATTGGGAAGACCTTGGGGAAATGGGATAATTGAAATGGAGGAAAGGTGGATATGGGAGCAGGGAAGAAGTTATGCTAACCAAGGGAGCCATTTTAGGGTTGGCTAGAGTCTTGGCTCTAGAGGGGTTCCCAGGTGTCCAAGGGGATTTCCCCAACTAGTTCCGTGGGCAACAGAGGAGAGGGTGCCTGAACTGACCCTATCCTAGAGCCACACTGATGAATATCTTGCATATCACCATAGAACCTTCATCTGGCGATGGATGGAGATAGAGACAGAGACCCACAATGGAGCACTGGACTGAGCTCCCAAGGTCCAAATGAGGAGCTAAAGAAGGGAGAATATGAGCAAGGAAGTCAGGATGCTAGGGGTGCATCCAACCACTGAGACAATGGGACTGATCTAATGAGAGCTGACCAAGGCCAGCTGGACTGGGTCTGATGGAGCATGTGATCAAACTGGACTCTCTGAATGTGGCTGACAATGAGGGCTGACTGAGAAGCCAAGGACAATGGCATTGTTTTGATTGTACTGCATGGACTGGCCTTGTCGGAGCATAGTCTGTTTGGATGCACACCTCCCTAGACCTGGAGGGGAGGGGAGTGGACCTTGGACTTTCCACAGGGCAGAAACCCTGATTGCTCTTAGGACTGGAGAGGGAGGGGGAGGAGTGGGAAATTTCCAAAAATTTCTGGCCTTTCCTAGGTTTCTATTCCCTCTGTCTTCTGCTGAAACAGGATTCTTTGTCAAAGGTTGTTTATAGCCAGACTTTGAATAAGTCCAGCAAAAAGCTGGATTTTAGACAGCAGCTTTACTGGCAGAATGCTTCAGTACAGAAGTCATTTTTATTGTATCATAAAGTCTTCTGTTGGAAGAGGACATGCATTCAAGTAGAGATGCAGTAGGAACCATTAAAGACAGAGATCTCAAACAAAGGAATGGAAAGCACAGGTATGGGGGCAGAGAATCAGTAGTCAACTGTCTATGCAATTGTTTAGAGATATTTTAAGATTAAGAGGAGCTAAGTAGGAACAGTGACAAAACCAGAAATTTTAGAATTTGTAGAGCAGCTCACCCTTTGTGTTTCCAAGCATAGAACCTTGGACACAGAAAAATTGAGATAAAAATTTAAGATCATTATAATGAATATGGACCTGTTAGGATCACAAAAAAAAATTCTTTTCATTTGTGGGTGATTATAAAGGAGAATTTGGATTTGCACTATGAAAGGCAAAAGGTACTTACCCCGGAAATGGTTTAAGTGAGACAAGAAACACTGATCCTCCACATAAGCTGATAGATGAGGAAGCATTTATAGTTCTGTGGGATTGTGAGCAGCCTTGGCCTAGTGAGCTATAAGGAAGATTCCTCTAAGTACCATAATATGGAACTTTTGAGTCCTTTGCTTCTGGTGAGGAATGCTGAGAGGTAAAAAGTGGTGGAAATATTTAGAAGGAGCTTAAAGGCTTGAGAAATTTAGTATTACCACCTTCACAGAAGTAGGAAACTCTGTAATATCCTCTTAACAGAAATGAAGTCCTCTTCCTACACAATTGCTGTTTTAGGTCCACCTATGATGCACAATTCTCCTGGAGTACTACAAACACTCAGAATTGGTTTGCATCTCTCAAGCAAGTTAGTTTCAGAGAAGGTGCAAACTGAGGAAAGAAAGGGCAAGCTTTTGAAATATTATTAGAAACAGAGCAAAGGGATGCACAGGAAAATAATAGATTAGGTTCCCTGAGCCCATTCAAGCAATTCAAAGACTTAAATGGAACCTGAGCTTAGTACAACCCAAGTGCCCTTTTATGCAAATGTTGATAGAGTACAGGAGGTTTGAAGCCTTACTTCCTGGGATATGGGAGCAGATGGACAAAGCTTGCCTGTTAAAAGGAGACTATCTGTTATGGAAAACCAAACATGCATAACAAAGTCATACCACAGATGAGAGAACTCAGGTCCAACAAATTGCCTTTTCTTTTGATATGCTTACTGTTGAGGACATTCATAGAAAACCAGATCAGCAATTAAATTTTGAAATAACAGCATAAACCCAAATGAGTGTAACTACTAAGAATGCCTGTAATACACTCCTGTCTTCCAGATAGCACACTGTCAACTTATCTAAAGTAAGGCAGGGCCCTGATGAGTTCTTTGAGGATGACACATTCAGCAATCAAATTAATATTGGATGCAAAAGCTTGACTTTAGAATATTAAACAGCTAGCCTACGACAATCTTAATGCAGTATTTCAGGCTTCTTTGAGACCTATTAGAAAGAAATTTAGCATCTCTTCTTATATTTGAATTTGTTCAGATTTTGGTTAATCATATACCCAGGGGCTAACTATGACTTCTGCTTTACAGGGAAAAACAGTTAAAGATGATCTCCCCTAACAAAGAAATCTGGAACTTGGAGAAAAATATAAGATTTAAGAAAGTTAATGAGATCTAATCAAAGCTTAACAGCTTTCATTGCTTTCTCTTTCCTCCATACTAAAAGATACCTAAAATATTGTTTTATATATAAAAGATTATATTTACATAATGCTCTTAGTTCCCCCAAAATTGTCAAAGATTTCATTTAGTTGTTCATCAGTTAATTTCAAAGAACCAATTAGAAGTTATCATTCGAATGTCTTGCCTCAGGGTATGGCAAATATGTTACGTTATGCCAGAAGTCTGTGGCTCAGGTTATACAAATTATTAGAGATCAATTTCCATAATTTTATATCATCCGTTAATGGATAATGTTTTGTTTGTCCATATAGATGAAGTAAGTTTATATGAAATATATTATCAGCTTAAGCAGAGTCCTCACCTTGCAGGGTTAGTTATTGCCCCAGAGATAGTACAAATACAGCCGTCTTATAATATTTGGGATATATAATTTATATTAAGAAAATTTAACCTCATAAATTTCAAATTAACAAAGAAATAAGGCAAACTTTGAATGACAATTAGTTATTCTTTGGGAATATACCAACAACCGCTGTGGCTCCATAGGATCCACCTAGATCCTCTGCTTATTTTGTGACAGTTGTGAGGATTGATTGATTTGCGAGAGAACTGGCAGCTGGAAAATGATTTGTCCCTGTGGCTGATAGTTTGAAACTTGTTCCTCATGCAGGATTGCATTTTCCTTCTTAAATATATGTGAAGTGCCTGGGATGAAAGCAACTTCGTACACCAGGATTGGCTGGTGTCCATGAGAAAGTTGCATCCTATTCTGAGAATGCTATGGACAAGCAGATTAAGAGCTGGGTCTAAGTGAAAGAGTGGGAGATGTGGAGTGAAGGCTGCAGTCATGTTAGAAAATAAAAATAAACTGAAAGTCAATGAAAAAAACACTAGCTAGAAACAGGATTGTATAAAAATATAGAAAAAAATAGAAAATAAGGAAAAATACTGATTCAGACATTCAATTCAACATTAAATAGCTTATCTATGGGGTGATATTTATAATTATTAGCTTGTGATGAAATAATGAAGAAATCTTGTAAAATGCATTAAAATTTTTATTTATCAACATTGTGTTTTATTTGTGTCACTCACTGTGGGCCTAACTCTTCTTCTTGCATTCATCCATACCCTAGATCCAGTACCTGCTCAGAAATTTTACTTGGCATTCTCAAAAGTACCCTGAAAGCATTCTCAGCAACGATGAGTCTCTTTCTAACGTTATAATTTCATTGTAACTTAGTTAATGTTGTATTATCTTAACTGGGTTAAAGGTTTTCTTTGCCAGACAAAAATCAGCCTTCCACTGAGGGTGAAACACTGTATAACTAAAATTTCTTCTTTCCATTACTGATCCATATGCAAATCACATTCTAATCTCTTTGTAATGTAGTAAATGATTAATTAGCTAAAATGCCCTGAAGATACTCTTTTCAGTTGAAAAGTATTTTCTGCAATAAATTATCCACACTACTCTGAAAACATCCACAGCTTCCTCAGTCAGCATGGAATTCAATTATTTCAGATTTATCGTCATGCATTGCAATTTACAAAAGTGTTCTCTTCCTTCCAGATACCTGCACTCTGTTACAATGGGCTTCCCAGTCAGGAGTTCAGCATCTTGATTGCAGGAATCTGACATTGTGAGCATATGCTCACTGTCCACTGTAAATGCATAGGAGATGTGTTACACGCTATAAGCTTATTCAGACAGGCATTTACATAATTATATAATCAGTGCTCAGCTTTCAGAAGAGATCTTGCTGTGTTGGTTTTTGTTTCTTATTTTTAAAGTATCAGACAGATTCTACACAATATAGAAAAAGAAAAACATAGGAAAGCAAAAGCCAACTACTAAGGGAAAAGGCAATGATTAAAATATGACCAAAACAAAACAAATTTAAAAAACCTGAATAGTGAAGACCTTAGGGGGAAGCAACAGCATATGTAACAGTGGTGCTAAACATGTCTGTGTTTACATTGTTTAACTCTCTAGGGCATATTGTTTTAAAAACCCGACTTTGCTGATTTCCCAGTGCTTTCTCACACAGATATTAGAAACAGTCTTCCTTGCCTGGGGCAATGAACATTCATGATTTGGTTATAATCATGAGCAGCTGAGAAATGGGATATAGCCAAAGTCTTAGTGTTAGGAAGACACTCTGCTGACAATTGTATTAGCTCTCCTGTACCTGATTGAAGGAGTGTGTGCATTCATTGTGCACTGGAATGTGAACCAATGAAGACATTGACCTCAATTCCACCAATGGAAGCAAATCGTGCAGTAACCTTGGTGATCTCCTTCAGACTTGCTTACTCATGTCTTGATGTGGGATTCCCCTCTGTATGTAGTGAATTGGTTTTATTACCATTGGCTAATAAATAACCAGCTATGGTCTATGGCAGTACAGATTATAACCAGGCAAAAAATCCAAACAGAGCTATGGTGTAAGAATTCCTTCTGTTTGTGTGTGGCTTTCATTGGTTAATAAATAAAGAAACTGCTTTGGCCTAGCTTATAGGACTGAAATTAAGTAAGCAGAAAAGACAACTGAATTCTTGGAGGAAGAAAGCAGAGAGAATAGAAGCCATGGATATTCTGCCTGAAATGGACACTGGTTAGAATCTAGGGTAAGCCACTGCCATGTGGTAATACACAGATTAATGGAGATGGGTTACACTAATATGTAAGAATTAGCCAATAAGAAGTAAGAACTAATGGCCAAGCAGTGTTTTAATGAATCTAATTTCTGTGTGGTTATTTTGGGGCTAAAATAGCTGGGTTGCTGGGATGAATAAGCAGCCACCATAAAATACCTAATTAACAGCACCCTCAATCAGCAGGAAGAAGTTTGGCTAGAACTGTGCCCATATTTCCAAATATTATTTGTAAATGTTTATTTACATTAAAAGGGGGATATGATATAGATATTAATAATCTACATTGTTATGGATCTTGGTTTATTGTTACAAATTTAAGATCAGTCTTGTTATATGTATATTTCTGCCCTTGATTAAGGTATTGCATTTGTGTAGCTCATTTAAAAATGTAATGTATAATTAAGAAATATAGGTTAACAGATAATCCTCTATAATAGTCAAGTTTGTAGTTATGTTAGTTAGATTTTCTCGATGTACAGAGAAGTATTTCAAATGAATAGGGATTCTTCAAATCTTTCAGAGACCTTTAGAATATGTCATTTAAATGTTTTAAAAATTTAGGACTTTTCATGGCAGTAAAATATATCTGCTCCAGGCAGCACCAAGCTACTTTGAGAGGAAGATGGGCATCAAAGAGGCTCCTTAGACATTTGGGCAAGAAACTGCTCTTGCCTGGACTGCTTCACTGGACTTGCAGTATCCACAGAGAGATGGCTGCTAAACTTGCCTAAAGGTGAGATGGTCCTTCAGGGTTCAGAATGTCAGAGACATTCTGCAGGAGACAGACAAAAGTGACTGAATTGTCTTTGAAATTTCCTGCTTCATTTAAAAGTCTGCTGGATACTCTAGACCTGTAGGCTGAAGATGAATGCTCCAACAATACAGACAAACTTTGGGTGACTGTCCAGGCAGCAAGACATCTCTGTCAATTCTAGAGTTTTGGAAGTTGTTTATAATGCACTTAAAGATTACATAGGTAATATTATCCTTCTGAAGTCTTTGATGGAGTTGAAGAATTTATAGCTATAGCTTTCCCTATTTATGATAAAAATAAAATAGATATAAATATTGTAACTGCAATTCTTGCTTGATACCTGTTTTGTTATATGTAATTTTACTATGTTAAAGTTAAAGCCTTCCTTTTTGTTTAAACAGAAAAGGGAAAATGGTGTAAGAGTTTCATCTGTTTGTGTGTTGCTTTCATTGGTTAATAAATAAAGAAATAAAGAAAGAAACTGTCTTGCCTAGTTGATAGGGCAGAATTTAGGAATGCAAAAAAGACAGAACTAAAATCTGGGAGAAAGAAAGCAGTGAGAAGAGAACCCATGGATCCTCTGCCTGAGATGGACACCAGTTAGAATCTCCAGTAAGCCACTATCATGTGGTGATACAGAGATTAAAGGAGATGGGTTAAGCTAATATGTAAGAGTTATCCAATAAGAAGTTTGAGCTAATGGCCAAAAAGCGTTTTAATGAATACAATCTCTGTGTGGTTATTTTGAGACTAAGCTAGCCAGCTGGCCAGGATGAACAAACTGTCCCTCCTTACAACAGAGATATAAAGGAGTATGTAGAGTCAAGGAGATGCCAGTAAGCCATAGTCCTGTAACACGGGTTAACGTAAATGGGTTAATTAAGATGTAAGAGCTATCTAGAAATACACCTGAGCCATTGGCCAAATAGTGTTATAGTTTCTCTATGATTATTTGGGTCTGGGTGCATGGAGAACAAAAAGCAGAGTCTCTACTTATATCATGGGGCCCAACATTTGGCAATGTTCATCAACATAAAGCATAAGAGATCTTATTTAAGCACTTCCAGGTCCACGTCAAGGGGAGTCAATTGTAGCTTTTTGGGAGTTGCATTTTTTTTTCAGAAAGGCTTTATTTTTTGTCAGTGAGTGGTGGCATGACTTCTTTAGGGGATGGCTTCCTGGTTCATAGAAGTAGAATTGGCTCTGAATCCTTTGGATGGTCCTCTTACAGAACTCCTAAATGGTGTCTGTGAGCAGCATGTTACAAATTGCTGAATAGTGACATAGACCCACTGTGTCCTTAGAGCTGGACTAGTTATCAATGCTTAGAGAGCTGGTGACTTACCTCTGCCATGCTGGACTGGGTGAATACAACAGTTAAAACCACAGGGACAACCTTTGCATTAAAAATAAAAATCTCTCCTGTAAGAAGACAGTAAGAATAACATAAAAAATGTATAGGTATTCATAGATTAAAGTATTAAAGATAAAAAAGTAAATGAGAAAACTAATATAGTGTAAAAACTAAGCCACATATAGATGGAACACACACAGAGAGTCTGGATTATGTATATTACTGTGATTTCTTGGAATTTTTTGAGTGTTGAAATACATTTGATCTTGGGTGCTGCTAACCTAAACAAAAACATATGTTTTAAAGGCTTCAAAATTTGGGTGTAAGGACATTTCTTTTTTTTTTTTTTTTTTTTTTTTTTTTGATTTTCAACACAGAATTTCTCGATAGCTTTACAGCATTTCCTGGAACTAGTTCTTGCAGTCCAGGCTGGCCTCTGCCTCACAGAGATACTCCTGCCTCCTACTCCTGAGTGCTTAGAGTAAAGGTCTGTGCCACCAACAAAAGTTATGTTACTTTTGAAAAGAAATCCTGCTTTTGTTTCCACAGAAGATGAGAATCTGTGCACTATTTCCAGGCTACTGTGGTTTTATGGAGCAAGAACCCCAAAAGGTCTCTATGAACCTGAAAAAAATTGACCAAGAAACAACAGGAAGAACTTTGGAGAACACTACACTCAAATTTTAAAAATGATTGTTTTCATTTAAAGTGGAATATGATATACAGATGAATACTTTGCATTGGTATGGATCTTAGTTTACTGATACAAATTTAAGTTTATGTTACTTAATAAATAAGTTATGTTACTTCTGTTCTTGTTTAAGTTATTGTGTTTTGGAGCTAATTTAAATGTAATATAAAGTTAAGAAATATAAATGAAAAGATATCACTAATAATCAAATTTTCGTCATGTTATTTAAGTTTTCTAGATTTTCAGAGATATGGTCCAGTTAGATAGATAATCTTCAACAATTCAATGACCTACAGAATATGGCATTAAAAAGATTTTAAGAACTTCGACCATAATCAACAGTGGAATTTTGACAGCAACATTACTTCAAGAGGATGATGGGCATTGAAGTAACTCATATGGAATTTTCTTCAATGTGACAAAGCTAGCCATTGGTACAAGAAACTGCTCTTCTCTGCACTGTTTTATGGTATGCTGTATAACATATATATGTAGGATCCACAGAAAAATGTCTGCTGAAATTGCTTAAAGAGGAGAAAAACATCTTCAAGGTTCATGCTTTGTAACTATTCTGCAGGAAACAGAAGAAAGTGACTGGCAAACTGCCAATGTACTTGAAACAGTCTTTCAAATTTTCTGATTCATGAAAAATATACCATAGGCCTGTAAGTTGTAGATGAGTGTCCAAATGTTATCGAAGAAGTTTGACAAACTGTCCAGGAGGTAAGAGTCTCTGTCAATTATAGAGTTTTGGAAGCTATTTTGATTGTGCTTTCTTTTTACTTAGGTATTATAAGATTCTTCTTGGTTTAAAAGAAAATTCCTTTAAGATTCTTCTTGGTTTAAAACAAAATTCTTCTTGTGTTTAAAACAGATAATTATAATTATAGGTTTTTTTGCTATGATAAAAGATAAATTAGATATAAAACTTTAGCCTTACAAAGATAGGATAAATAATATTCTTCTTCATTTTCCAAACGTAAAAAGATTAAATAGAGTGAACAATTCTTGCTTGATTTCTGTATTGTTATAGGTAATTTTCCTATGTTAAAGAGAAAATATTCCTTTTAATATAGAGATAAAAGAGGAAGGATGTGGAGATCCCCACTATTGGCTGGGAATATGTTTTATTACCATCAGTTAATAAAAAAAATATTTGGCCTATGGTAGGACAGAATATTGCCAGCCAGGAAATCCAAACAAATATATAGAGAAAGAGTAGTCTGATTCAGTGAGATATCATGTTGTTACAGAAGAAGAAAGCCATGGAAAGGTTATCATTTGTCATAAATTAGCTATATTTTAGAGACTGTCGAGATCCTTTGGTGGAAGGGTAGTAACTGATTACTTTACTGGTTGAAATTTTCAGTGACTTTAAGGTTTCACAAATAAAACTATAATGTGATAGCCATTACCACAATGGGTCTCCCACAATGGGTCTCCCACAGTGCTCCCCTTGTCAAAGCTGGCTAATTATGTAGGGTCATCGGAGGGAGTTGCCAGATACCATCTCTCTATAATGCATCCTCCATTTTCATCAGGATATTTTTGCTTGTGTCACTGGTCTATATTTGTAACATAGAAATATAAACTTTCATGTAATTGAAATATAAAATATAATATATATTAGATTGTGCTACAACAATGCTGTTTGGATTGAAGAATGGACTATGGGATAAAAGCCCTTTTCCAAATTGAGCCAAATGGAACATAAAATATCAGAGTTTGTTATTGATAAAGAAAGAAATTAAGGTCAACTGATCTCAAGAAAAAATACTATATATATATATATATATATATATATATATATCCTGTTAAAATCATTTTGGACATTTTTATAGAATTATTTGTGATTGCACAGATAACTTTGAAAGTGGTCTCATAATTTTTGTTTATGGTGTGCAATTAATATCCATAATATATCTTGTTAATACGCATATATACATACTGTATTTAAAAAACCTAGGATATTCACAGCCATAAATTTCTTCTCCAGATTCCAATACCACTCTAGCATCAGAAGAACATTTTCTTTTCACTCTCTAATAACAGCTAATATCATTTAAGGCAGTTTTATGTCCATCAGTATGGAAACATCTGCTGGAAAAAAATGGTCCCTCATGGCAAATATTCCTAAAAAAGAAGCCTTGCTCTCCTTTTCAATTAGCACCTTAAATCAAATAGTGACTCTAAGGAGTGTAGGATTTATGAATATTCCCAGTAGGACTACTGGGATTTTTGATCAGTGGATATACTACAAGAATTATGTATTTAATTCTAATTGTTGAAAATTAAGGGTACAAATGTGTGAAATATCAATCAAATACTGATTTGATGCAGATTTTAATAAAATTAGCTGATTTGAGATAGGTTTTTTTCCTCTGGGCATGAAATTTGCCAGTCTAGCCTACCTGGCCAAGTATTCTTAGATAGTGCAGAAGCTTAGATAGGTGGAGTAGACAGAACAGGATGCTGGGAGAAAGAAGCAGAGTCAGGCAGACACCATGATTTCCCTTCCTGAGAGGGATGATGGCTAGATGCATGCCGGTAAGCCACAACCTCGTGGTGACATACAGATTATTAGATATGGGTTAGTCAAGATGTGAGAGTTAGTCAATAAGAGGCTAGAAATAATGGACCATGTAGTATTTCAATGAATACAATTTGTGTGTTGTTATTTCAGGGCATAAGCTTGCCAGGCGGCTGGGAGCCAGGCTGTGGGAAGTGGCCCTCTGCTCCTTTTACAATTGGCTGCCCAACATGGTAACTAAATCCACTCAAAACTTGAGAGGGCTTAAAAATAAGGAAAAGAGAGTTTAGCACAGTTTTTGCTGTTTACTAGGACATGCCGTAGAGAGATTTCCTGTTTCAGCAATAGTGGCAGAAAAAAAAAGATGTGCGGTTTTAAAACGCAGCTTCCTATACTGTAGCTCTGTAATAGAGTTTGAAGTCAGGGATGGTAATGCCTCCAGAAGTTCCTTTATTGTATAAGATTGTTTTGGCTATCCTGGGTTTTTTGTTTTTCCATATAAACTTGATTATTGTTCTCTCAAGATCTGTGAAGAAGTTTGATGGGATTTTGATGGGAATTGCATTGAATCTATAGATTGCTTTTGGTAGAATTGCCATTTTTACTATGGTGATTCTCCCAATCCATGATCAGGAGAGTTCTTTCCATTTTCTGGTATCCTCCTCAATTTCTTTCTTCAAAGACTTAAAGTTCTTGTCAAATAGGTCTTTCACTTCCTTGGTTAGAGTAACCCCAAGATATTTTATGCTATTTGTGGCTATCATGAAAGGTGATGTTTCTCTGATTTCCCTCTCTGCTTCTTTGTCCTTTGTGTATAGGAGGGCAACTGATTTTTTGGAGTTGATCTTGTATCCTGCCACATTACTAAATGTGTTTATCAGCTGTAGGAGTTCTTTGGTAGAGTTTTTGGGGTCGCTTATGTACACTATCATATCGTCTGCAAATAGTGAAAGTTTAACTTCATCCTTTCCAATTCGAATCCCCTTGATCCCCTTATGTTGTCTTATTGCTATTGCTAGAACTTCAAGCACTATACTGAAGAGGTATGGAGAGAGTGGACAGCCTTGTTGTGTTCCTGATTTTAGTGGAAGGGCTTTGAGTTTCTCTCCATTCAATTTGATGTTAGCTGTCGGCTTGCTGTATATTGCTGAGATGTATCTAGCACACAGGTTTTACTGTGAAAGATCAAATTAACAGCACCTCTATACAGCAGGTAGAAGTTTGAAGAGAAATAATTACATCCATATTCCCAACTATTGTTTATAAATGTTCTTTTACATGTAAAGGAGGATATGATATAGATATGAATAATTTGCATTGGTATAGATTTTGATTTATTGATAGAAATTTAAGATGATTTTTGTTATATGTATTTCTTATCTTGATTAAGATATTGTGATTGTGTAGTTCATTTAAAAATATAATGTATAATTAGGAAATACAGGTTGTTAATGTAAAATCATCAATAATAGTCAAGCTTGTAGTCATGCTAGTTAGATTTTCTAAATATATAGAGATATATTTCAGTTAGATTGGAATTCTTCATATCTTTCAAAGACTATAGAATATGATATTTTAAACATTTTAATAACTTAGGGCTTTTCATGACAATGAGACACATCTGCTCCTGGCAGCACCAGCTACTTCAAGAGGAAAATGGGCATTGAAGAGGCTCCTTATGAAGTCTGATAGCCATTTGGGCAAGAAACTGCTTTTGCCTGGACTGTTACATAAACTGAACATAAAGAACTCGCAGAGAAAAGACTGCTGAACTTGCCTAAATGTGAGATGGTCTTTCAGGGTTCCTGAT